GGTGCCTGACTAAATGCATTGGGTCGCATTCTTCATGTACAGATGAGACAACCTTTCTGTTAAATATTCCCGTGTTTCCCAGTGGTGGGACTGGGGAGGGTGAGCACCTGCCTGGCAGCCCAATGGGAGCCCGCGTTGGGGAGGGGGGGGGAGCCAGCGGCGGGGGGGTGTCGCAGCAAGCCCCAAAATGGTTTGGCTGAAACCGGTTTTACGTCATATAAAAAAGGGGACGGAGGATCTCGGGCCATCAGAGTGCGAAAGGTCCTCGGGCACGCACCGGAGAGCGTATTTTGAGCTTGAGAGCACTATTTTTTTTTTTTTTAAAATTTTTAACAAGGGCTGCAAATTGCCGTAACATAGTTCAGGAGTGTAGGAAGAGGAGAGTTTGCCTGAACTTTACTCCCAGCTTGAACTTCTAAGAAGTCAAGTGAGAGGCAAGGAAGGGGAGAGAGGGAGAGAGACGTACCCTCGCTCACGCCCCACCGTCCGCAGAGACGAGGATGTCAAATGGAAGAGAGAAGCAGCTGAATGGCTTTGGGGAGAAGGGGAAGGAGAGGAGCCGCACGTCCCTGGTCATCTCCCAGGCCGTTAACCGTAGTATTTTCACCTCCGCAGTCTCTCCTGCTGCTGAACGCATCCGCTTCATCCTCGGGGAGGAAGATGACAGCCCGGCACCCCCGCAGCTCTTCACAGAGCTGGATGAACTTCTGGCCGTTGACGGACAAGAGATGGAATGGAAGGAGACTGCGAGGTGGGTTGGTTTTCCTTTACCCTGGAAGGGAACGGCGGCTGCACGGGACCCCCCTGGGAAATGCCGTTGTAACATGCTGTGATTCTGTGACCCAATTGGGGTAATAGCTGTGCTCCAGGATCACTTGGGGAATCCACACAAGGGACATATGGTTCAAATTACCTTTCTTTGATAAGTCATAGAATTGCAGACTGGTTTGGGTTGGAAGGGACCTTCCAGATCACCTACTGCCAACCCCCCTGCCACAGGCTGGGGCACGCCCCCCTAGCGCCGGGTGGTCAAACGTGGCCTTGACCCCTTCCAGGGATGGGCCAGCCACAGCTTCTCTGGGCAACCTGGTCCAGTGCCTCTCCGCTGGAATGATGAGAGAATTCAGGAATTGGTTTAAATATTCTTTTAAAACAAAAACTAGAAAAAAATAGAGTGCTGGATTTATTGGAATGATTTGCCTCTGGAGAGCTAACAGACATATGGACTCGTTAGTGCTTTGCGGAGAACGACAAGGTCTTGGCCAGAGTTGTCAGGAATCGGGGCCCGAATCAAGTTTCTCCAGGCGGGTCAGAGCTGCTTCCGTTCTGTTGCCCAAAAGTAGACTTGAGCCTGACCCCACTGCACACCACAAGCTGGGAAGTTTTGACTGTGTCCCTCTCCTGGCGAGTTACTGAGGAAATTCACTTTAAATAGACAAAAAAACCCACCCTAAAGGTTTTTTTTCTTTTGAGGAAGTTACTCAAGGTGTGTGTGAACTGCTGGTTTGGGTTGCCTGCTCTGAGTTTCTTGGTTAGGTTCTCTGCCCGTTTCTTCAATGGTGCCGTTGGGTTGGTCAAAAAGCTGTGCCAAAAAACTGGCAGGGTGTTTTGAGCTGGTTAACACAAGTGACGTGTAGTTTATTCCTGAACGCGACTGGAAGAGCCGTTGGATTGGATTCATGACCTAAAGGCTGCAGCGTAGCCTCTAGCCTTAGAAAGTCTGGATATTTTTTTAGTACATGAAAAATATTTCTCTTGGGTTTGCCTTGAAAGGTAACCCCCTCATTGCAGTCTGGTTGCTGTGAAGGTTTGAAATGTCCCACCCGATAGAGGTGTTGGCCCAGCCGGAGGGCAGTCTGGGGCTCTGCCTTCCCCGTTCCACATCCCCTTCTCTTGACTCGGGGCTTTTCCTTTTACTTTATTGTGGCTGCGCTGAGCTCTTTCCCCACCTTCCAGTCTTAAGGGCTGTTCATGGTTGGCCCATGTTGTTTGGTTACCTTAATCTTCTTTTCCTGCCATTTAATGAACCACTCCACCACCTACCCCTTTACCCCCTTATCTATATTTTTACTTCTCGCTTACTGGGAGAGCCTATTTAAAGACTTTTCACCTTTTACTCTTCTTGCTTGTTGCTCGTCCTTTCTCCCTTTATTGCTTTTCTTCCATCTTATCATTAGTTCAGTACTGGCGTTTTGTCATCGTACTGCTCACCTCTGCTTTTTACAGCAATTTATACTTTGCTCTGTCCATGTGTAGGTCTTCAGGAAGGGGTTCTAATGACAACTCGTTAAAGCTTTTTCATGATTCAGACCTTAGGATGGTGTTTCTTATCGAGCAGTCTCTTCAGTCTCGCTTTTATAGTCTAAATATTGGGAAGTTCTGTTTTCCTGAAGTCCACAAATGTTTGCCATCAGAAGAACGGTGCCCGGTGTCCTGTATGGCAGATGGCAAAGCACCACTATTCCTTGAGGGACGTTTGTCAGGACCCCTCCGCTCTTACGTTCAAAGGAGAAGCTGTGGCTGCCCCATCCCTGGCAGTGTTCAAGGCCAGGCTGGATGAGGCTTTGAGCACCCTGGTGTAGTGGAAGGTGTCCCTGCCCATGGCAGGGGGGTTGGAACTGGATGATCTTTGAGGTCCCTTCCAACCCAAACCATTCCACCATTCTATGATTCTGTGACCCTCAGCGGGATGTGCCTGCACTCTCCGTGCTGTCAGGTGGCTGTAGGGAAAAAGTGATGTTTCCTTCTTCTCTAGCAAACAATTTCTGGATTTATGTGTTTTCATAGGTCGTTGGTAGATGTGCTCCAGGGAGCTGTGTATGTGATTCTCTGTCTTTGAAGACATCTATATACATGACATGCTTTAAGCACCCCGTTGAGGCACTGCGTAGTTCCTAAACTTGGCCCAACCTCCTGACTCACGTGCTGTGTTGGTGATAACGATCTCGCGTAGCGTATGGTTCAGGATTTTTCAGTATCTTCCTGAAATGACTTAATCTTGCCCAAAAAAACCTGCCATAAGCTGTCGAGCGGCTCCCGCTGCAGGATGTACCAGCTAGGGTTGACTAGCTCCGTGCTTCAGCGGGCAGGGGAGCTGCCAGCCCTGCACCTCGCTCCAGACCTTAGGTCTAAGAGTTTGAAAGAGCGTGGAAGCTGTGAGGAAA